CCCCCCCCCCCCCCCCCTTCCCCACCCAAAAACTGCATGCTGCACGGTGCCTTTCAGACCAGGAACAGGGCTGTGGGTGAGCGAGTGTCTTCCTCCGGTTAAGAACAAAGACATTGTTTTTATTTACAAAAAAAGGAGAAAAAAGTTTCCACACAAAAGCACTACAATGATAACTCCCTTTGGTAAAAAGTGTAATAAATGTCTCCATCGGTCTGTCTGTCGGTACTAATTCTCAAGCCACCTGGTACTATGGTACACAAGAAGCTAGTACAGTTATGCTAGCACATCAAGCATACTTCCTTTAATTAAAAAAAAAGAAAAACAAACAAAAAAACAAAAAAAAATTGACAATTTGTACATTTATTTACAAAAAAGGAGGGGAACATGTTAAAATCGTGTTGTTCTCTGTTTTGTGTGTGTGTACGTACATGTGTCTGAAAAGCTGGTGCATGGCACTAGGAGAGACTAGTAAACAAGCAGGTACAAAAAAAAACAAAACCAAAAACAGTTCCACTGGCACTAGAAAGGACAGACCGATCTGCACGGGTTGAGTCCAGCCTGGGAGGGGGGAGAGGGAGGCGAGAGGAACCCAGGGTCCGCTCCATGAGGTGGCTGGCGTGGGGCTGCCCCACGGCCCCGCGCAGGAGCCCGCCCGCCCGGCGGCAGCGTAAAGGGAGGAGAATCCGGTTGCGACAGGCACCTGGGGATTTCGGGACACATCCAAGCGGTCTGGTCGTGGAGAGCCTCCGGTTCTCTTCCCTCGCCGCTCAGGGCCTTTGGGGAGTCAAAGCCTCAACACTGCTGGTGTGTACGAGCTCGTTGTGTTTCTCTGGGATGGCTCAGTTCAGAGCAGGGTCCTTCCCGCCCTCCGGGGACGCGTGCCGAAGTCAAAGGGCCCGTGGCCCATGGTCCCAGCGGGCGCCGGCGGAGACCCACGTCCCTACAGGGAATCCCGCTGGTGACAGGTTGTACCAGCCACACACTAGTCAAGTGGCCATGTTACGGAGATACACAGTGAGGGGAGAAAGGCATCTTCCTCCTTTCCTTGATGCGCGCACACACACACATCTCCGGGGCTCTTCCCTTGCCCGGGGGAGTTTTACGGTGTCTTGAATATCGTGCCATATTTGACGCGGTACTTGTTAATGCTCACAAAGTGCAGGGTCTCTGTGTCACAGGTGGTGGTGCAGGGCACCAAGCCCTCCAACCCTTCGCCCATTAGCCACTTGTTTGTCTCGGCTGCCATTTCGCGGGGCACGTGCTCCTTGGTCCATTTGTCCACCCATGCCTGGAACCGCTGGTGCAGGCGCTTGCTCACTCTTTCGTGGGACTACAGAAATAGGAAGAGGTGTTAGAAAAAGGTGGGTTTAGCTCCCAGACTGCAGCGTTACACAAAGCTTGGCTGCAGGTTGACACAACCAAGGGGATCAACAGCCAGAGGGATTTTGTAACGCAGACACCAGCCCTTGCTAACAACTTAGGAAAAGCTCTGACAAAGACCCCCATGTCTCCTCCCCAAAGCAATTACAGTAGCAAAATGAAGTCAGAATTACCAAAAAAGGTTTATGTTCTTTGTTTAATACAGCAGCTCTCAGGTTGGGGACACAGCACATATCCCATGGGAGATCAAGAGCTGCATGCCCAGCAGGGAATCACTTCTGCACTGCCCCAAAGATGCTGCCACCACCTCCTTAAGCAGCCAGGAGCCAAGGTAGACCCCAGAGCAGGTAAGCCCTGCTCTCCCCAGCCCTCAGGGTCTGCCTCCAGCCCCCCACAGAGGGGCATGGTCCTAGCAGAGAGCAAGCTCAACATGCACGACACGTCATGGGACCCAACTGCTATGGAAAAATTAAGAACTGGGTCAGGTCTAAAAGGTTTGAGAACCACTGGTTTAACAGAAGCATCAGGAGAGGAAAAACTTTGCACATTTTTGAGTAAGAGCATCTGCTTAAGGAATGTAAAATCCAGGACAGATGGTTTAAAGCCATGGCTGGAAAGCCATGAGTATAATCATAATTGAAAACAGCAAATATAATTAAACCTCAAGATTAAAACAATGTATTTTATTATTTGTTTTGTTCGTCTCCGAAAGACTGATTGCTTCTCAGTGTTAACTGTTAAATCCAACAGATTTGTAGTTCCATGTAGCTTCTGCAGCTCATTCAGCGTACTTCAGTAACCAAGGGGCTATGCTGTATGCTATATATTTAACAGTTCAATAATTTATGTTCAGATTCTCTGTGAAAAGCACCGGCACATAGTATGTTTGTGAGCTTACTTTTCCTTGAGGTTTGTGCCAGTTGAATGGGATAGATGGAATTCAGTCAAAATCTTTAGTATGGGCATTTTGAAAAGTCACTGCTGAAGTAAAACACTCATCTGATGTGAATGCAAGTTTAACTAAATTACTTTACAACTAATGAAATAAAACTATTATTTGTATTTCATCAGCAAGAAACAGATGGTAAGTAGTTGTTTTATAAGACTAAAACAGAGCTGTGAAGGATGAGCCTCTTGGGTACCTCTGCTTTTAGTTGCTTAAGTCAGTAACTTTTGCCTGAATCTGGCAGGCCTCACTTTCTTTTACATTCTAAACAATGGCATTCTGCTTAACGTTGTGTTTTAAACAGATGATAATAAAATCATAGTAATGTATTTCAAACCTCGAGTCTTAAGTAGCCAGACTAGAACTGGAGTTTGCCGTTAAACTCCCTCCTTTTCTCTGTTGGCTGGAAATACTCCCACAGGATGAGAAAAGTAACCATGTCCAAGTGTTCAGAAGACCAGATCAGCTTTCTCCAACTGAATTCTCCTGAATTTGGCCAATCTGGAGTCACAGGCTGTTTTCATCTTGAATAAACCTCAACCTTTACAGCTCAAGAACAGCTGGAGAGCCAACACTTCCTTCCCCTCCTTCATCTCCGCTCCCCTGCCTCCCTGCCCATCCCACTCACCTCCTCCTTCCCTTGTCCCAACAGTTGCTTTTTGGCACAGAAACCAAAAGCAAATTTGAGTAACTTCCAAAAAGTCAAATTCCAATTTAAATCAGCAATCACAAGCACTGACTGCTAGATGTGAGATGTTACCGACCCTTGGGTCCAGGACTTCCAAGCCCTGGAAAAATACCCACGGGGACTTTTCTGTATGGGTGACCTCACCACTCCCATCTTTGCCACAAAATCAGCTTTTCTGCAGCTGTGCTCTGCCATGTGGGAGTGGCCCAAGGACTCCCACTCTCTGTGACTCTGGGGATGGGAAACGATGAGGGGATGGTACCCAGAGGGATCTAGGGGGACAGAGAGCATTTGATGCTCTGCACTCTGATTCTTCTTTGGGGAAGCACTGGAAGAACACACACTCTCACACGTCACCACAGGAACATGCAGAAGACAGGTCTTCCCTAAAACAGGGGGACTACCACCCATGGGAAGGGCCTCTTGGAAGAGATTTGAGAGCTTACACTTGACACCACTGTCCTACTATAATAAAACACTCTGGAAAGAAGGGAGAAGAGGTGGGAGGACAATGAAAGTCAGAGGTGGAAAAGATTACACCTTAGGAACATCCATATGTCTAGTGCCTTGGGAGGACAAAACAGAGTACCATCCTCCCAGCAACACAAAAGACGGCTAAATGTTACTGGTCAGGATCCCCAAGGACATTTCATCTCGAGACTCCCCACCTGACCTTTGGGAGCAGGGGGTCCCAGGAAACACCAGCTGCCCACTCACTCCTACCTGCTGAGCTCGCAGCAGAGCAGTCCTCCTGTACATGTAATCCTCCGATTTGATCACGTACACCATCTTATAGGAGTTCAGTTTGAATTTACACTCCAGCTTGTCCAAGCTCTCCACATTCTCCATGGACTTCTTACTGTTTCCCTCCTTCCCTTCCTTCTCCTGCTGCTCCCGACCACGCTGACACTTACGGATCCGCCTCAGATTCCTGCAAAACAGAGAACCCCTCTTGGAATTAGTGCTCACCCTCCAGCATGACCAAGATGGAGCAAGCTGGTGGATCTGTGCTGGCCACTCAAAAGCCTGGCAAACAGCTTGCAGCACAACAGACTGTTGCAGTCATTCAGGCTCAGACCCCTATAACAAGTCAGCCCACTGGGCTTAACTCATTTCTGAGATATTCTGAGGTTATTGTGCAACCAAGTCCCTGCTCATGAACAGCTCTGACATGGCACCCGCTGTTTTCAGGTAGAGGGTTACCATAACCTAAAGCAGGACTGCCAAAAAAATCCCAATGTGGCAAGTGGTCAGCCCTCGCCTTCTCTGCTAGCCATGGACCATGCCATCGCTCAGTCAGTGGAGAGCAGGAGCCTGGTGGGGACCCACAGGCTTGTAGGATGGACAGCAGCACGGCACCTCTACACTGCGCCGGCAGGGCAACGGCTTCTGCCGTGGTGTTCAAATACAGCACTTGGTGGGCAGAGCGCAGTCGCTGCGCCCACCACGGCCAGATACAGCCCATGGGGTATCTGGGCATCCCATGGGGACAGCCAGGCCACTCACCTTGGCAGGAAGACCGGTTTCTGGGCCAGGTGCTCCCGGAGCTCAGGGGAGGTAGAATCGGAGTTGACGTACCGCTCC